TGAATTGCCTGCTGAGTAGCAGCCGCCCTATTTGAAAATCACTAATGACAGGGCCAACATGGGCCAGCCAGCCACGTACCACGAACAAGTCGGTGCCACCCCCTACTTAACTGTCATTAATTCTTATCGCCGGCCCACGTAGTGTAGCTCCTGAAAAACACTCCATCTTCTGCACTACTCCACAATTTCAAATATTAGCACAAAATTCTACATAAACCAGTCTTTATTCTTGTTCCATTGTACTTCTTGCATTCTTCTAGGTACGAAAGCTACATCATAGTACTGCACGTAGTACAATATTGTTTTTCAAATTGATAAACAAGAGGAAATGGAGGTGGAGCAAGAGTGTACTACTCCAAAGAATCAAGATTATCAGATACCGATGTCTGTGGTGTGTCCGCCGGCGCCGAGGAAGAAAATGGAACGCCAGCAAACTAAGAAGAACCGTCCGAAGAATGGTTACTTCCAGTCACCTGATATTGAGACATTCTTTGCCAATAGCCCTGGAAGAGAAGCTTTGGCTTAGGTTTTCTGTTTCCCCCTTTCTCTTTGCATGAGTCTTTATCCATTATTTCAGTTTGTAGAAGCAATGCAGAAGTTCTTTAGGGAAGGTGTAAATCCACGTCCGCCGGCGCCGAGGAAGAAAATGGAACGCCAGCAAACTAAGAAGAACCGTCCGAAGAATGGTTACTTCCAGTCACCTGATATTGAGACATTCTTTGCCAATAGCCCTGGAAGAGAAGCTTTGGCTTAGGTTTTCTGTTTCCCCCTTTCTCTTTGCATGAGTCTTTATCCATTATTTCAGTTTGTAGAAGCAATGCAGAAGTTCTTTAGGGAAGGTGTAAATCCATATATATATATATATATATATATTATATATATTTGGTACTAAATATGATATTGGATTCAACTCAGATGTTTGAATCAATCTATATCAAATTAATTGTCTTTGTTGATAGATCCTTGTTAATGCTAAGCCTTTGATTGAGATTCTCCCTTTTTCTTTTTTTTTTTCTTTTTTTCTTTTTTTCAATATTTATTTTCAACTACACATTTCCTATAAAATAATTTTATACGTAAATCCAAAATTTTTTCTTAATTTTTAACTCCACATATTCCAAATAAATCACTATTTCAAAACAAAAATTGGGTTTCAAACTTGGGCTAAATTACTTCTTAGTTTTTACCATCAGGGTTTGAGAAATTTTGATTTATTTGGCTCGTTACTTCGGCATGAATTCTGTTACTAGAAAATATGGGAATTTTCTGGTTTGCTGTCTTTAGGTAGAATTAGCTTTCTTTGCAACTAGAGTTGAATTTATTTATTTATTTATTATTATTATTATTTATTTATTTTATTTTTTTTAACTATAAATATGATATAATAAACCATTTTCACATTTCCAAAAATGCAGGGTTTATGTTTTAGTTGATGCCAGATTAGTTTCTCGAGTTTTGATTTTACTATTATAAATGTGAATTAGCAAGAACTTCCAGGAACATTTGGAATATGAATTATGTGCAAGCATAACTAAGAAATTTTGTTCACAACAGAGTGTAGATTTTATGAGAAGGATGGGGAAAACAAAGTTGGAGAATTTTTTTTAAGCAACGCTGGTAGTTCAGATTTCTATGACTAACAGCAGAACTAAAAACAAAATTTTGTTACTTTTCCCAAATTTAGGTTTTGTTGTGGTGTAATTCGACAATCCATTTTCAGGGACCCAATGGTCTCTTCATTTTCGTCAATGGGCTGTGGGTTCTACTCGAATATGCTTGTTTACAATAAAAATCAGATCAACAAATTCCTCTTACCTAATCAGGATTTTCGCCTTTTAAACTCACTAATTTTGATGCTCAAATTGGGGCAAGAGGAAAATTGACTATTTGAGTAGAAGATATTTGATTTTGCATGCATTACTCTTATGAGGTGGGAGTATTAATTAAGTCATTTTGAATAAATGACAGGTGAAAACTCTTTATTAGATAGCTTGTAACTGATTTTATTAGAATATTGCATTTTATTGTTGGCTCATGTGTCGTAGCAATGGCTCTTAGCCATCCCGGATGCAAAAAATGTTGCCACCTTGAGCGAGTCTTTTTCGCTTTTGTTTCTACCTCATATCGCGAAAGCTTCGTAGATGGAGGGAAATAGTCGCGAAAGATATTTCTTGATTTAACTATGCTCGACACAGTAAATATCTCTTATTCTGATATTTATCAGTAGTGGTATACATTCAAATTTACTCACCAATGAAAAACTCTTTATAATACTAGGGCTCTTTTTCAATTATTTTTTCCTGTCCTGCTTGAAAAAAAAATAAAAAAAATAAAAAATAAAATCCTTGTGAATAGTAACAATGGTCTTTTAAGCCTTTATTTGGGAAGTAGGATAGGCATTAAAAAGTAGAGAAAATGTGAATTTATATTTTACCAAATGCTGTCGTTCTCCAGCGATACATCGGAGTTTCCGATCCTTTGCCTAGGTTAGAAATTATGGTTATGTGGAGCTTTCGACATTCGAATACTACTTTGTTTCGGCACCAAGAATTAATGATTAGATTAGCGTATTACCTAAATTGCAATACAAGCTGGGCTTGAATTTTGGTGATTTGCTTTGAATTCTGATGATTATTTGGCATGCATCATGGATGAGATGGAACATCCTTTTCATCTTGGAATTCGAGAAGATACATTGCCAACGGCTGTTCTTTATTCACTTTCACCACTTATCAACCAAACATGATTTTGTTCTCCATCAATTACCAGTGTCTTAATAGTTAATATTAAATGTGTCTCGAGAATAAACGAGATAATTTCGATTACAATGTAAGATTTTGAAATCACTTAAGTAAAAGAGAATAAATATATTTGTCGACTGCTCAAATATATGCCATAAATACTAGTCAACGAGGAGGATCGATCATTTTAAGATTGAACATAAGGAACCGTCTTCAATGGGAAGGAGAAGAGTCCTAGTGAGAAACAGGCTTGATGAGATGCACTCTAGGACAAGGGTGAGAGGGCATAGATTTCTAGACAGTCTCCTATTCAAATAGCCCCTATTTGGTTCTGATTTTTCAACCCAAAAAATCAATTTTTTGATCGTTACTTTCTTAAGTCAGCCTTCATTTTTTACTTCTTCACTTACGGGTGGAATTCACTTTTCTCTCTAATAGTAAAAAAAATTGATTCTCAAGATTACTACCGAACAAGCCCATAGTCATATCTTGTGAATCAATCTTGTAAACCGATCGAGTAATGTGAATTAAGAAATCTAATGAATGTCTTGATTGCAAAGTAAGAGCAGTTGGAAAGTATGACGACTGAGACATATCCTTAAAAAATTAGAAAGGTAAATAGGGTAAATCTGTTCATCAGTCATCCCTGCAACTACCCTCTCTTCTCCAGTAAGATGAATTTTATTTTTTGAAATTTCCTATGTTGCCCTTACTTTTGGTGGTAAATACTTGAGTAATTTCAGCAAAAATTACATAATAAATTGATAAAATTATAATTACAATTTTGACATAGAAGGGTGTAATTTCCTTTTCAGGCTTGTCATATCTCACATAAAACCTTTGAGTAGATGTAACAATGAATCAACAGGTTATGGAAAAATGTTCACGTAGTCGAACTCAAATTGTATTGTTTGCGAACTTTACTTATGCAATAGAGTAGAATTCAATTTATTAATAAAGATAGCAATATGAAGAGTTCTGGCAACAACTACTAAATGCCATTTAACTTCGATAGACCCATCCCTCTTTTAACCTATTCCACTGAAATCATGTCATTCTTGAACACATGCGAACTACCTGACTGAAGCTAGACATCCTACTAATATATCTCAATTGATGCGGAATTCACTTGCTCACGTATATTCTCATTTATTACTTTATCTTAGGGCTAGTTTGAAAGGACTTTGTTTTTTGTAAAAAAGCTTCAAGAAATTGTTGGTAAAAAAGCTTTATGAAGGCGTCATCTTAAGTCAGCATCACCTAAAAGCTCTTCTTATTAGACAAAAGAGTTCTTAAAAATTAGCCAAATGGCCCAAAAGCAGATTTTAGCTAAAGCTCTACCAAACGAGCCCCTAGTGTGCCTATGTCTATCTGCACATCTTCATTTCCACTACTTCCATCTTATGNGCAGAAGAATATATGACTTGATTTGCTTCAATTAAAATGCATGAATAGTTGGACTATGCAAAATTGAACTGTTCAGTTATCCCCCGACCACGGATACAAATTTTTCTTATTATAGGGATGTTCTAGACAAAAAATTTATTTAACAGAAATGGGGAAGGGGGCAGGAGGCTTTTTTTTTTCGGGGCATGAGGTAAGGCAGAGGCTGCTAGGAAACCTGTATTTTCCTTGTGGTGTATGATGGAAAATGTTGTTCAATAAATCAATAAACACGTGTGTGGAAAGAAAGAGGAGGTGGGAGCCAATACTTTGGCCTATGCGGCCGTGGGAGCCAATATTTTGGCCTATGCGACCGCATAGGCCAACGGGCCATGCGGTCGCATAGCCATTAATTGAAACTTGGAGGCCGGATTTTGTGTAAACCATGCAACCGCATGGGAATACACTATGTGGATGCATGGTAGTTTTTTAGTGCCGTTGGAGGCAACTTTTTATTCAAATTCGGCGGCCTTTCACTTATACTTTGGCACCACTTCGTATAGCAATGTTTCAAAGCTATAAATATGTGGTTAATGATCATTCTAATTCATTAAGAAATCATATTACAAACATATGACGAACATTTTTCATTCCACAAGAAGAAACCAGTCTTCTTCATCTATATTCCAATTCTCTTAGTATTCTTCAAGTTCGGGTGAAAAATCATTTATGCTTTTATGATTTTCTACAACAAGACTTGATCAATCCTTCAAACCATTTGCCGCGAGACCCTTTAAGCACCAAAATTATTATTGAGAGGAGGCAAATATCATTTGAGAACAACGATATAATGTCGTGTTTGAGCCTTTCATAGTTTGTTCTTCACGTTTATTTCATCTTCTTGGTCACTTTTCTATATCATTTCTTCTCTATAACCCCGGTGGCAATAATTTCCAACAGTGTAAAGAATCTGCATACGAGTATACATGGCTCTCAAGTTGAGATTCACCAATATAGATCTCTGTCTTCTTGGCTCGTATTCTGATATTACTTTCAGAGTTAGGGAATAATGTTAAATGCAAAACAGGCATGGCATTCGGCAGCTTAGGAGTGGGTGGTCTGATGGACCAGCTTACGTGACACAATGTCCGATACGGACCAACCAGACATACACGTACAACTTCACTATCACAGGGCAGAGAGGAACTCTCTTCTGGCATGCTCATATCTCATGGATGAGAGCAACAATTCATGGACCGATCATCATCCTCCCAAAGCACAATGAATCTTACCCCTTCAAAAAACCATACAAGGAAATTCCCATTATCTTCGGTAACTTTCATATATATGGCATATTGCATTTTATGGTCAGATTTTTTTGGCAGCATCTTTTAATATAACTCCATCGTTCAAATTCAGGGGAGTGGTGGAATGCAGATCCTGAGGCTGTAATTAATCAGGCTTTACAAACAGGGGCTGCTCCAAATGTTTCAGACGCATACACTATTAATGGTTTTCCAGGGCCCTTGTATAATTGTTCTTCAAAAGGTATCATCAGTAGCTATAATGAAAAACTAAAATTAGCAAAATTTTTGAAAGTTAGTGTTAAATCATGTATGTAAATGTTTTAGTTAATAATATTATACTTCTAGTCTAACGTCTCTTAAATTATCATTTACTTGAGTTGGTTTCAGATACATATAAACTAAAGGTGAAGCCAGGGAAGACATATATGCTTCGTTTAATCAATGCTGCAATGAATGATGAACTATTCTTCAGCATCGCGAACCATACAGTCACAATTGTTGAAGCTGATGCTGTATACATCAAACCATTTCAGACTGATGTAGTATTGATAACCCCGGGTCAAACCACCAATGTTCTTCTAAAAACCAAGCCATGCTATCCCAATGCCACTTTCCTCATGACTGCTAGGCCTTACTTCACCGGTCAGGGCACTATTGACAATACAACAGTTGCAGGTATTCTAGAATACGAGCACCCGTTAAATCATACTTCCAATACAAAAAAGATGGTTTTCAAGCCAATTCTTCCACCAATCAACGATACCACTTTCGTTGCCAACTTCACTAAGAAGTTCCGTAGCTTAAACAACCCTAATTTGACTGCAAGTGTTCCACAAACAGTGGACAGACGATTCTACTTCACCGTAGGACTAGGCTCGAGTCCATGCCCTAAAAATACAACTTGCCAAGGACCCAATGGCACAAAATTTGCAGCATCAGTTAATAATGTTTCTTTTGCTCTTCCCACTACAGCTTTATTACAAGCCTACTTCACCAAAAAATCAAACGGTGTCTATACCACTGATTTTCCTACCAACCCACCAAATCAGTTTAACTACACAGGGACGCCGCCCAACAAAACCACAGTGAGCAATGCAACACGCCTTCTTGTATTGCAATTCAACACCAGTGTGGAGCTTGTTCTCCAGGACACAAGCATTTTGGGTGCTGAAAGTCATCCTCTTCACCTGCATGGCTTCAATTTCTTCGTTGTTGGTCAAGGATTTGGAAACTACAACCCGAACCGGGACACAGCCAATTTCAATCTTGTGGATCCTGTTGAAAGGAACACATTTGGCGTTCCAGCTGGAGGTTGGGTAGCCATTCGGTTCCTAGCAGACAATCCAGGTGCAAATTACAAAACATTAATTAGTTTAAAAAAGAACACAGCAGGCAACTTTACATGCCTGGTCTGTGATACACCAATGTGTATACCATTTCATATTGGGAAATGTATGTTTACTTTTCACCATGTGAAAAAGTAGACACATTGCTGGTGAACTTAGCCCATGCAAGCATTTCACTTATATGGAACTAGCACTGGTATTAATTGTTGAATTATGAACAGGTGTGTGGTTTATGCACTGCCACTTTGATGTACACACAAGTTGGGGTTTGAGGATGGCTTGGATTGTAATGGATGGGCCACTACCAAATCAAAAGTTACCAGCACCACCTTCAGATCTTCCAACATGTTGATAGCTGTGATTGAATCCACATGGACAACTCGACTATTGAGTTTTCTCGTCTCTCTCCGAGTTAATTTATGTTATTCTTTTGCTGTGTGTGTGTGGTCAGAAGAGATTGTCAATTTTATGTTACTTCTATCGGCTTGCAAAAGAGAGGGAACAGTTGAAAGGCAACATTTGATATTTTAATCCTTGTAACTTCACTTGCAAAATGCTCTTTCATTTTCAGTTTTCAAGATGCGATTCAGATACTGTTCTTGTCGCTTATTTTTCTCTCAGCCTTCCCTTGACAAGTCTGATTATCAAATAATTTCACGAATAAAGAAGATTACGGAAAGGATGAAGCAAAACATTCATGGCAAAAAGGAGGATAAATGAGTAACAGAAGAAGATTTCACACCCAATTCTGACCAGTTGAACCTTTAAAAATCAATACCCGAGACACTGCAACAGCTGTATGAATCTAGAAAACAACTACAGGAAAAAAAATTTGTATACATATAAAGCAAACCAATAAAAGGGAACGATAGCATAACATGCTTGAAAAATAATAAAGATGCCTGGAACGATAGTAAAACAAAATAAAATGCAGAAAATCTACAATGTAATGAAATATCTCCTTCAGTATAGAGGGAGAAAGCAGATATGGCAAAGGAGTTGTACATTTCATTCCCTTTTTGTGCTGTTGTGGAGTTCTTTTTTCCTTAGCAACCACAACACAAATCCCTCACAACAAAAAGAAAAGAAAAAAACAGGATGACGTAACGAGGAAGAACAGAAGTTGTTCCATAAAGATTATTATGTTCAATTACAATACAACAATACAGGTTGGATCAATTAAGGGAATCTTTATTCTCACGGTGGTCATCTTACGGGCTATAAACTGACATAAATATCCATAAATTTAGCCGTCCCTGTATGATTGATCTTTGTCACAGCATAAGCATGGAAAAGTACTGTTCAAACTCCTTGTCAATGGTCAGCTTCTTCGTCCCTGGTTGAGTATCTGCATCTGGAAAAACACAATATTCCATATCAGCAAATGGCTAGGAAACATACACTAACTCGCATGAGATCCGCATACAGAGAAAGAGAGAGACTCACGACTTAACGGAACATAAAAACAATTATTCATTCATTCATTTATTATTATTATTATTTTTTTTGGGGGGTGGAGGGTGTAACAGCATATAAAAACTGTATATAATAAGATCGCTGAACATGAAACTAGAAAATGTAAATATACTGATGACCAGGGTTGGGGGTGTGGGGTAGAACAGGTAGCAATCAGAGCGAAACCAGTTACCTTGGTTGACAGTCCACCTTCCAGATGAAAGAACATAACTGCTGGAAGCCACATCATTTAAGTAGAGCATGTCTTCAAGTTCCTTATCTGTAGAATGCCCAAAGCCATCGATCCTGTATTCTGAGCAACTGCAGTCCACGTGGTTTGTTAATTCTAGGAGATGTTCCTCATAATTCACAGATGGATACAGTCCGAAATTATGATGAGGGCAATCATCTTCCCCACTGAAATTAGATGATGCAACTTTACTAGAACATGATTTTGTCAATGATCTGCTCTCCAAAGAATAAAGACTATTCTTAAAAGAATCCGAACTAACGGAAGAAGTGGAAGCCTGATCAGATGAGAATGTTTTGGGAGATCCAAGGTCACTCTTCGCTTCACCAGATATAGAATTGACAGAGTCAGAATCTCTGGTAAAGCTATTTCTATCTTTTGCAGATTCTGTATATGTTTCATATTCTCTTGCCAATCCATTAATTTCTCCCATAGTTAGGCATGGCTCAGAGTTACATTCAAGGCTTCGATTCGAGCAGATATGCTTTGGCAAAGGCATGATTAGTTGTTCATCTTGCAATTTCCTTTTCTTACTCAAGTCTATAAAGCTTGTTTGCTTCATTCTGTTGATGTCATTATTGTATGTCAAGCTAAAAACAATTAGAAAAGCCACATGTTGCAATGCTTTTGTCTTGTAAGAACAATTTTAGAAATGCATCTAACCGCACGAAAGATATGAAAGCAAAAACAGACCAAGCGCAATATACTTTAAACATCTTTCTTATTCAGTAAGTGCAAAATACCACATCAATCAAAGTTGAACATAATTTGATTACCACGGTTGAGCAGAATAAAACCCATACAATGGCTTAAATGATTAGGTAAAGATACAAGTTAGAAAGAATAGAGACAGAGTGATGTTGTTGAAAGGCATTATACAAATTGCCCATGTTTAAAATTGCTAGCGTATATCCCAAACAGATGTCGCACATCTGTCGAGCTTCATTTAACACATTCATTTCTTTATTTACAGCTAGATATGCCCATATGACCATGACATATGCAGGGACGCCATTGTGTAAAAAAAACCTCCAATTGGGAAAGAGATCCTCCCCAGAACAAATTCTCAATTTCCACAATTTTATAACATCCCCATTTCCCGATCGTTCAACATGGCAAAAGTCAATTCCACTAAAACTTCATGCTAATTAATACAAAGCAGGAGCACCATAATGGAGGAAATTGATGGAAAGGGGGAAACCAATATACAAAAATACATAATAAACGGATGACATGTTTGGCAGATGTACTAAATAGAATTGAAGCGTATACTAGACAAGATTTTAGTTTCTTTTCATCCTTGATTTGTCCGGTACAATACTATATAGTTATGGTTAACAGCATTGATGCTATATTCACATACATGATCCCACAGAACAAACGCATAAAAACACTCAATACCTGCAAGCAAAATATTCCTACACTGAAAACAAATTCAAATCAGACGCTGCAACCTTTTAAGTAGTCAGATGGAATGGATCTATGGAAGTTTCAACTTTCAACCATACTATCATTAAAATCGAACATTTCCTCTTCTACTACAAGTAAAGGTCAAATTACACTTCTTGTCAATAAAATCACTAACACAAAATCATCACTTTTTTCATCCTCTCCGGCCCCCATCTTTTACTTGTCCCATGCATAACGCAAAAGTCGAAATTTCAAACGAATCGAGTATTTTCTCCATTCAGGAATGAGATCTAACAGTAATTTACTAACTCTTGAAATGTACTGAAAACACTTGCACAATATTTATCAATTCACTTGTGTTAGTTTTGTTCCATAAGTACCAAAATAACATATTTGCCTTTACCAAAAAGTAAGTTATACCCAAAATTAGCATTTTTAGCAAACAAAACTTACTTTCAAAGTTTTAAGCAGAGCCAAACATACAACAGAAAAATGCGAAACAGTCAGGTAAGCATGAAATCAAGCAAATTGAAAAGAGAACAGTAAATGAAAAAACCCAGAACTAAAACCTAGTAATTCCAATTGGGCTGCTAACATCTTCCTCCATCACGATCTAAAATATTAGATTACAAGTGGGTTGGATTAAAAGAAACAAGAAAAAGCCGCGGGAATTGAAATATGGATCAATCTCAGTAGAGATGGGGGAAGCTGAATGATCATTTCTGAGAGTAAGTTATGGTCCGTTCATGTTATCCAGGAGTCAGTCAATATCCGTTCACTTTTCTTTCTCGTCATTTTGGCTTTTACCAAACTCAATTATTTCAGTTCCACGCGCGTCACCCCGCATTGTTCTGGTCCCCTTTGTCTCGACATAAAT